GGAATTATGATAATTTTATCCCGGAAAACTTAAGGAATCGGAAACAAAAAACAACCTTTAGAAAGAGGAGAAAAAGCTGCATCGAATGACACCCGAATCGCTTCTCGGTTGTTGTTCTGTGAGGTTTGACTTGACTAAATATGGAATTTGATGGCATTGAGAAATTGATTGTAGAAACTCTAATAAGCAAGCTAAGGAAAAGAAAAAATTACTCTATGTTCTATAGTGTTTGCTCTATATACCTGCCACTTGTACTTTTTCGGAGATTAGATACAAAAATTTAGAAAAATAGCCGAACTTGACGGTGGCAAAAAGCACGAGTCGCAGATTTTGGTAATTTTTCGAGAGCTCATTGAACATTATGCAGTGAAATTAAAACCATTAGAAAGAGGATGAAATGCTGCATCGAATGCTCCTAAGATCTTTTGGAAATGTTGATTCCACGAATAGTGGCGTTCATTCGAAAAAAAGCGACATTACTTTCCTAATATTTTCAATTTTACTTTCGTATATTTTTTTGATCGGCTTCTGACTCGAGTTATAAAAGTTGGTGTTCACAACTACATGGCTTCTTATAGAGTTTGCTCTCCTCTATACGGTATTTTTGCATTTTAGTCAGAATTGAGAAATGCGTGAGTTGTCGCGGTGAAAACTAATTAAAAAATTATGAGACAACCTGATAGTATCAAGTAAATCTTCTTGTTATGTGCATTGTAGCGTAGGCATTTAAGGTATTGGGTAATTGTCGTTTTTTGCATTGTACGCTAAAAATTCCCAACCGTAAGCCATAGGCAAAGGGCATAGTGTCCACGATTTCGTCGCCGCGATTTCGTCGTCGGGGATTCGGATGGTTTGGGCGACGAAATCGCTCTTCGAGAGGACATGGGCATAGTGCACGCGATCCCAAGTTTTTGCACAAAAGCTGACTGGATTTGTTCTCATGAATATTCCGCCTACTTACTCTCAGCATCCATCATTGCTCATGCCAATCGTGATGATACTCGAGTACAGAAATTTTCATTTGTTTGTCTTTCATCAAGTCCATTACTCATAAGCTTACCGCTTTTTGGCAAATTCTCGCCTACGATTGCTGCCCTATGAGCTAACAGCTATAACTAGGACACTCTTCGCTAAGTTTTTGGAAGAAGCAATCAGAAGGAACATATTGGAAAGATAAAGTGGGCATTTTAGCGCCTAGCAAAAATTTACTAGGAGTTTTTTAGAAATAAATTCGAGCACAGCACTAGAAGACTGCGGAAACACACAAACATAACTGTTTTGTGCTGATGCACCAGTATCAAAAACAGAAATTCTCCTGCACTTATGTGAATTGCAAAACGTGAGATTATCCATGCGACATGAAATGACAATTCGCAAGTTTAGTTTGCAAAAAGCAATTACTCACAAAAAAGGCACCAAAAAACAAATTAGTTTAGATCTGTATAGCAAACGGGACACACCCAACAATTACACAACTTCTTACACAAAGATTTTCTATTTCCACAAACAAAAACGAGTTAAACATCAATGCATGTCTATGAAAGTCTCTCAAAATCTCACTCCAACCTCAGCGATATCGCCCAGTCGCCCGTGCAGCACGCGCGACGCGACATCGCTGAGTTTTGCCGGAATCGCGGCGACTATCGCTGCAGAACTATACCCTAGCTAAAAACGGTCCGCGATCCGTCGCGCCGGACGAGTATCACAAGCGCCGTAGCAGACCCATAGACATGCAACGAGTGCGTAACAGTTGTCGTAATTCAGAAATCGCAGCGCGACGGTATCGTGGACACTATGCCCTAGGCCATACGGAGCGGCCAGATTCGCTCTCCCAGTCTCAATCTGATGTTGTTCCTTGTTTTGTGTTGTTTATTGTTTTGGTTTACTCCTTTTCTCTGCTAAGCTTCTTCTATTGCCCGCCTAGGTAACTCGCGCTAATAGAGGTTTCCTTCTATTTCCTTCTATTCCTTCTTTTGCTCAGTCTTGAGCATTGCGCTAGAAGGTTCTTTTGCGTACTAGTGGTGTTTTTGTTTTGTGATCTGATCTTATTGATCCAAGGCGAACGTAGTCGTGAGCCACGCATCGCATTGTTCGCTTGTTCTCTTTTGTATTTCTCTTGTTAATTTTTATTGTTGTTGTTTGCCTTTGGACAAAGGCTTTGTAATCTCTTCTAGTAATCTTGTCAGCGCGAAGCACGGTAATAATCCACACCTTTTGGATGGGTACCTGGACAAATTCATAGTTCTTACTAGCTTTTTCGCCACTGCATTTGTGCACAGAAATCGACACGGGTTCAACAATGGTTTGCCTCCAAAGACATCCTCTATAATGTTGATGATGGCCAACTTGGCATTTCAAGGGCTCAGTTGAAAGTGTATAGATATGGATGTGTCATCCTCCCGTATTTGCTGAACACTAGACTGTGCCCTGCCAGATTGTCACCATTTTTCCGGCCTCTCGCTCAGCATATCAATGCGTACGTATGTTTATCTGATAAGTTTCGTAAGCACTTCTGAACAACTGCTGAGTTGATGTGTTTTTCAAGTATATGCGCTTCATTGTTGACCAGAAATAATAGTATGGAGTTTGAGATGTGATTATGATTTGAGCCGGAGGAAAGTGTGCATACTGTGCATACTGCCGTGCCAAGTTTTGGCTCCGAAAGACCTTGACTTAGGAATTTCTGGACTAACAGATTCGGAGCATCAGTAATCAGTATTTGGAATTATTTCTCGTGTCTGATTGCGAGTAGTGAAAAAAAGACTCTGAAAATTTTCGGTATTTGAGTTTTCAGATTGCAAAGCAAGCAGAATCCACTGCTTTAAGTTCCGCTCCCTCGAAAAGGCTAGAATCCATGAACTATACTCGAAAGATGGGTGATTTTGATAATACCTTCGCGAGTGCAAAGTGTTTTTTTGAAGGTTGCTAAGAATTTTTTGGATTCTGAACAAATTTAGCAAAAACCACCCCTTCACTTTAGGGCCGGCATCTGGCTGACTCCTTTCACCTGAGGTTGAGACTAAAATCAAGGCATAACGGCAGCATCAAACAGCTTTACAATGGCGCTTTTTGTTTGGTAAGGAAAGCCAGCTGTCTTCTCCTTAGACATCAAGATTGCAAGAGAGTGTCGGAGAAACAACGTTTTGTTGAAAAAAAGGCTTATGCTTGAGACCTGCGCACTCAAAGTAACGTTGATAACGAAATATTAGGTTGTCCGGAAAATAATGTCACAACGTGTTTTATCATGCAATATCGCAGCAGGGTGCGCACGAAAGTAAGGAGGTATCAACTGATAGATCAGAGCAAGCTCTACAAAATGAAGCGCCAACCTTCGCGCCAAGTTTGATTTGCGTGAAGTTTGGAGCCAGATTTCATAAGGTACTGAAACCTGAAACTTCGAAAAAAATCGTACCTCCTTTCAGAAAAGTTCTGGGAACCCCTAACTTGCTCACGCATGGACTCACTATGCGTGACATTCGTATGCACATTTTCGCGGTTCTTCCAGAGCTGAAAATTGAGAAAACGAGATGGTTTATTTCTGCCAAAACAATCCTTAGCTTCTCTCACATGAGTGATTCTGTAGTATGAACCTTTAGGAGTATAACCATAAATTTTCAGCTTTAGACTAGTTTTCGAGAATAATCAAGTTATTTGCAAAAACCCGAGAAAAACGACAACTTCGCACTTTTGACCTATTTTTGTTTGTCGTACTGTAGCCATGAAAAATTACCACAAACTATGCGGATGAATGTCTAGTATGGAGAGTACATGCCTGTGCAAATTGGAGATCCCCAAGACGTATGAACGGAGATACGATTTTTCGGGTACCTGAAACTTTTTATATTTTGGATTCAAACTTCAGGTGGAGCAAGATTTCTGCGGAGTTTTGTAAAATTCCCTGTAGAGCTTGCTTTGCTCTATCAAATGATACCCCACTCGCTATTTTTGTGGTCACTCTGTCGCGGTAAGATGCCATGCGACATTATTTTCCGGACAACCTAATATAATCAAAAATTAAAAGGATGTCTGATGTTGCATAACTAACTTATATCAAGGAATACACATTGTCGCAGGAAAGAGTTGAGCAAGAGTAGAAAATCTTGACCAACCAGTGATGGATCCATGTTTACTGGCAAGAATCGCTTCACAGAGAAGCTAGGAAAAAAGAGACGGTCTACTTCGATTCTGTAGGTTCAAAGCTTTCGGGCATGTCGATTGATAGAACATAAAGCTTTCCTGAGTCAAAAAAGTCTCTGTTAGATGACGTTCCGAAGCGTAAGCATTCAGAAAATCTTCATACTATACCTCTGAAGCATATTTTCCTTCTTTTCACTCCTAGGCATGTAGCTTGCGTCAGCATTCATCTTAAGGTTCATTACCCCCTTCACTTTTGACAGTCGGAAATACGACGTACCTCCTTCACCTGGGAGGAACCCTGCTCCCCCTATCGCAGCTATGCTAGGGATTGTAAGACAACGATTTTGGTGACCGGTAGAGATAGATAAGAGCGTTATGAACTTTCTAGACGGAGAATGAGCTTGAGATAGAATAAGTCCTTTGAATTTGTATGACAGAGTGTGGGGGGGCACATCCGTAGTTAGTAATCTTATTCTCGCAATGCATTTGCATCTGCCTTGGTAAGGAATACTGTCTTTCTCATCTAAATCGTAACGATCACAGCAAGTAAACAAAAAGACGGCGCCTTAAGTTAATGCTCTCAAAGTGGACTTAGACTGGATGCATGTGTTGACCCTGTTGTGGTAAAGACTTTGCAGTTTCTAAGAACAAACTTTATTAGAAAATCCTGACTTTACGACAAATTTCTTTTACAAGCCAGTCAATAAACTAATACAACTTTGGAAAAAGTGCCTTGAATACGTAAAAACTCGAATGTCTTGCGCTCATTGATAACTTTTTTGCTGCAAATCGCATTATCACGGTAATTATGTGAAAATACCGTGTACAATATAGAGCAAAAACATGACAAAAAACTTTCAATAGCTTTTAACACTTATCTGAAAGGATGGCAAATATACATGGACAGTGACATTGCCTCAGAGAGGAGAAAATTCACTCATGATAGCGTGATGCATCAACCTGACTGGAATTCTATATATTTCATGTCGGAAACGTCAAAGACAGAAATCAAAAATCAACTGCTTTAAATTCTATTTGAGGGTATAACATAGCGTGAGCGGTGTGTATGAGCCGCGGTAAAATCTAGTGTATCACTACAACAGTGCTCTTCCTTCCTGCCGCTGCTGTTATCGTTGCATTCGGCTTGATATGCTTCCGTAACGACGCGACTACGCAGAAAGTAGTCACTATATTTGTGCACGGTACCCACAATATCGCCGTGTAATAGGACAAACGCATGACCAAGTAATCCTGAACAGGTGAATTGCAGAGAGCGCAATGTAAAACTACTAAGTGCCAGCACTACTTTTGGAAACCGGTGTTGGACCACCTCCGCTATCAATTCATCAGCTGAATGCAGCATACATATTTCTTCATATAAAACGTGTGATTAGCTTATACTCAAAAATAAGTTGCATACTCCGAGTAGAGGTGGAATCCAGCTTGATGTGGAACTTTAATCTTTGATTAAAAACCGAGCATTATCCAATTCTTGCATTCAAGTAGATAAAGTGCGTGAAAAATTGACTTGACAGCGCTGAGCCTGTCCTAGATGGTCAAGTGCACCCCATTACGTCTGTTCTCGATCTTGTTTGCCAAATAAGTTTTATTTTGAGCAAAAATGACGTATCCGGTTAGTAAAAATGATTAAGTGCGCGATTCTTCCACTGCTGCTCTGCTCAGTTTCGTTGAAGCCTCTAACAGTAAGATAATCGTCGGAAGTGGGTGGCTGAGCGATTTTTAAACAAGCCCGCATGTGAAAAACAAATCGCTAAACATGCCCTCCTGTTGATGCTCAGAAGGATTTTGGTCTTTTTCTCGACAAATGCTCAACTTTCAAGAACACATCGTAAAGCAGTTATCACCTGATCGGCGTAGATGCCTGAATTTGAATAGATGTGGGAGCCGTTTTCCGAGATAACTTTGCTTTTCAAAAGTATTTGAATAAAAGCACATCTTCGTCACCGATTCGCTGCAGACGAAGTTACAAGCGTGATTCTACAAGAGAACGTCAAGGGCGGGATGTATCAATTAGTAATTCTCGTTCAAGCCATAACCTGGAGCGTATCAATCTTCCGTTCAGGTAAGTGTTCCCTTACAGGTCGTAATTCCAGTTAGACGCAGGCGTCCACGTCCGTGATGTGCGATTATGGGCGCTTGCCCGTGCAAAAGCTCGTTCACGGAGGATAGGACAGGTCTGCAACTCCTAGCGACCCACACGATCTCGCTTGGCTATAAATTAAGTGAAATAGCGCGTCTCTTTGATTAGGTGCTTGGAAATGTTATAGGCGATTCCCATGCGTATAGCCGGCGTGACCTTGGAGACACTTGAATACATTGAAAACTCCATTCGTGAACCTCCATTTTAAAGCAGTACTTTTTTACTCTTCAGTTGGCCAAAAACTGCCACGCGCATACCTTGGCAAACGTCGGCAAAGCTCCGCCCCCTATGGAGTGGGGAAGGACGATATCAAATTGAACAATTCATTCACTAGTCAAAAAGTAAGATTTAACAATTGTTTTGTTGCAAGAAATAATTTTGAAGGAACCCATTTGATTTAATTTTGAGATTTGCAAGAGATTCCGAATTCGGATTGGAGTGATCGGGCTCTGAGACTCTTGCAGAAGTTGGAATCAAGTTACAGGTCAAAAGATTTCCTTGTAAAACAACTATACTCTTTGATTATTAAATGATTTTATTTTTGACTTGCCTACATTTCCGAGCGCCTGAACGAAGAATGCACTACTTCACATACTTTGACATTTGAGAGACCGGGTAGATCAGCACGCGTTGCTGACTTAACCAACTTCCATGGATTTTACACGGTCAGAGTCCCACGTTTCAGCATCGCGGGAGTAGGGCGCCCGCGTCTTAGCAGGGTTACGACCAGGTTTGAGGAAGAGATGTGGCACACAACCACCGAATACCCCTATCTCTTTCAGTGTCTCAGTATGCCCTCCCCCTCCCCGCATTACGTTCTCGATATCCCCCCTCCCGCATTACATTCGCCCCTCGTAGGTATGACATTAGGGCTCTACCAAGCATAATTAGTAACATATTCGTGATTATCATAGCAACTAATACCTCTGAGACAAGCTTTAGCGCGTTGTGAAGGTTCCCAATATTGAGTCACTCAAGTGAAGTGGTCATTTTCAAACATGGTTAACTATATCTCTGAAGTGATTTAGCCACTTCTCTATGCACTCACTCACCGACTGTTTACCCATACCATGACCTGCTTCAAATAGCCATGAAACTAAAGAATTAGGAGCCAGCTAATATCTCACTTGTCGCACCTTTCGCTTACAGTGGTTGTCCTTCCCACAACTATTGCTCAAACGAAAAAAGGCGAATCCAGTTCTAATCACTTATACAATACTAGGAGATTTTGGCTATCGAACCATATACATTTTTCTCTATAATTCTCTTTTTTAGGTAAAGCAATGAGGTTTGGCATAAGCTGAGAAAAGCTGTGGCTGCCACACCTTTCTAGGAGTTGTGCCATACCCCGTTGACTTAACTTCAAAGCATGCAAATGTCAAGTTTTTTATATCGTTGCTACTGCTCCTTCTTCTCTATACAGAAGGAAATTCTATTCAAACTCGCACCTCCTAAAAAAAAGATATATCCGCTTTTCCTTACCTATGCAAAAAATAAACACTGCGAAAGTTTTATGTTGGCTTAAACCTCGTAATTTTCACAAAAGTGATTTGAGCTTGATTGTTCTTCTCTAGTGTAATGAAAGCGAAAAATGGGACAAATGAGATCTTGGCTTGCCCTTAATTCCATATTTTGGAAGTTGCCTGAAGTAGGATTCCTTGGGCAAAGAAGTGGTAGCTGTTTATACTAATTGTAAGTGCAAAAAGAAATACTTAACTCACCTTTAAACAAAGTTAACATGTTCAACCATCTCGCTTGAAAAGGTCCAACAGGAAACTTCAAAATTCGCTAAAGCTCGGCCTACAGGATTTATTTGTCATGATCACGAAAATGATGCTATGCCTTTAGGACTCTTGTATCATGTTTACTACTTATACGATTGTAGGCCAAAATATTAAACTGCTAGATAATGGGCCTATCTGACAATTTTAGAAAACATCATGCTATCGCTCATCAGTATAACCTTGATAACGACTCTCCCCTCCCCCCCCCTCTTTACGAACCCTCACGATACGACCCTCAGGTGTGGGGTGCCACACCCCAAGCTTGACCCTACTTACGACCTAAACGGGATCACTTACCTTAGTTATGCTAAGGTAAGTTTTCCCTTAACCCTAAAGGACAGTAGAGCCCGAACTGGAGAGATGGGCTGTTTCCCGCACTGAAGATCTAATTTCAAATCACACATCACAGGATCTCTTATAACAAAGCAATGATTATATCCGTTTCTTTGATCAATGAGCAATTCTTTTGAGTTACCAACAATTCGAGCATCTAAGCAAAGAATACACCTTCACATGATATGACAGTTGTGAGAACGTATAGGTCAGCACGTGTTGTGATCTAACCGATTTCGCCCAATTGGCTTTCGTACGACCAGGCACCACGTTTAAGCACCGGGGTAGTGGGTTGCTCGTGTCTGATCAAGACTGAGGCTTGAACGTGAACAACTATCCAACGGATTTGATAAACACCGTTCCAAAAGTCAAATTGGCCAAATCAAAGAGGTCCGCACCAATGCAGCATTGAACGATAATAAAACAGTATCTGCTGAACCTTTGTGGACGAAGTTACGAGATGGAATCTACCACTCTAATGGACCTGCGCATGGTAGAATTATCTTCTGAGTATATTGTGAGCCGTAACCAAGAATGTTCTTTAAACTTTGAAAGTGGGCGATACAATCTGCAAATCTATTAAATAAGGTTTCTGCAGCAAAGTAAGCAGAATGTGAAGAACAAGGGAAGAATATCGGGTGACCGTAGCATTTCGAGACGAGATTTATACCAGCATGATTTTGAGTCCCTTTTTGTGCAACATTATTGCAACATGGGGACTTCTTACGCTGCATATCCGTGTTCGTTATCTGATGTGCATTTCGGATAAGTATGAGCATTTTAGCCACCCGAGTTTGCAGGGCTGAAGATAAGTGCGAGCCTCGCACAGGAACCCACTGGCAGCGTGTGGCTTAGTGGATGGTGTGCTAGACTGCGAAGGTAATAAACTTTTGGGTTCCAGTCTTTTTATGCGCAGCATTACTGTTGATAAAGTTTTCTTTTGAACAGAAAAGCATTTCGTACTAAAATCAAGTCCATTTTCAGTGAACTTGCAACAAAGATATCTTAACAAAAATTTAACCACTCTGGCGAACAATGTTAGAGGGGGAATAAATCGACCTTCTGCGCAAATGCGATGTACGTTCAGAAAATGACTGAGATAGTGAAGGTCCCCACAATGAGCGCGGCGGAACATTCCGTTCCACTATTTCCTTGTGCTTTGAGGCCAATTTCTTCCCTTTATTATGAAAGGCACGATGTACTGGACCTTAAACTGGTTCTGTGTTCAAAAGGAAACTCTGCGTTAGCAGAGTTAACATTAGCAAGTTGCACGCAAAGGGGCTCGAACCCAAATTTTATCAGTTCTACAGTCTAGCAGCACTATCCACTGGACCACAAGCGAGAATACTTATAACTCTCTAGGAAATGCACAGCAGATGCTAAATACGGACATAAGTTTATCGAACGAAGTACCAATGTTGGTACACATTTCGTTCCAAAAGGCCACGGTCGCCCTCTACCCTTGCCTTGTTAGATCGATCTGACTAACTCGGCTATTAGCAGATAGCCAAACACTCACCTTTTGGGTTATGCTGAAAAGCTTTTTGATGCGGCAGGGAACAATATCTGTATGAGAAAACTAGGTCAGAAGAGTCAACTTAAGCCGTACGAATTTACGCGTGATGCCGCTCCATCTAATCTGCTCTAATTTGCTTGTATTAAGTTGTACCGAAAGTTCTTTCGCACCAAATTCAAAAATTCATAACTTCTGAAATTTCCAACCGATTTGACTGCTTTTATTTTTGTTTGAAAGAGCAAGTTATGCCCTTTATAGTGACGTCTTAGCTGCTTGCTAATGATCATCTCTTGCATAGATAGGAGCGATAGAAGAAAATTGGTCAAAATTTGAATTTTCTGTGTAGGGTCATAAAAAATCGAAAACTTGCAACAAAAATCAGAGCAGTTGGTATTATAGGTCCTTTCACCAGCTCTTTCTAATAGTGCAAAGTTTGCGCCGATTAAGCGTCTCTATGAAAAGTTATGATTTCCGAGCAAGAAATACAAAAGGGCGAATTTGATTTATTTTGGCATTTTTCAGGGAAATCATAACTTTTCATGGAGACGCTCAATCGGCGCAATCTTTGCACAGTTAGAAAGAGTGGTGAAAGAATCTATAATACCAACTGCTCCGATTTTTGTTGCAAGTTTCCGATTTTTTATGACCCTACACAGAAAATTCAAATTTTGACCAATTTTCTTCTATCGCTCTTATCTATGCAAAAGATGATTTTTAGAAAGACGTCAAGATGAATTTATAAAGAGCATGATTTACTCTTTCATGCAAAAATAAAAGCAGTCAAATCGGTTAGAAATTTCAGAAGTTATGAATTTTTGAATTTGGTGCGAAAGAACTTTCGGTTCAACCTAATAGTATGCATGAACTCCAGGAGAAACTTTACAAAAAGTTGAACCCAGAAAGTAAGGCGGAGATCAAAGACATCTTTTATGGTCCAGGGTTACCATTCCCTTGTGCGTTCCTTTGACAGCAAGCGCAAATCCTTTGGTTGATATCAGTTTCCGCCTCAGGCCGACGGAACATGTAGTCAAATCTTATCCTCGCCCTGAAAAGGGCGTTAGGCAGGTTCGAGAGCTCATAAATTCAGCGCAAATATGACTTTCTACTAGCTACGAGCAAAGTAGTCATTCCCCACCAGCTAGATGTAGCGATAACATAAAGACACTTGCAGGATCACGCATTACCGCCATTCCTCTGCCAATAAATATCGGCGACAGGCAAACTCAGCATGGAGTGAATAGCGATTGCTAAAGCAGCCCATTTTTCGCAGGATACAACTGCGCCTCAAAATCGATATTTCTGTCTGCCAAGTGCTGTACAGTCGAGTAGATTTTCTGCTTAATATAGTGTCCCTGCAGACGCGACAACGCTGGGGCGTCAATAAATGCCTTGCGAGTTCCCGAGCTAGTGTTTTCCAGTGTTTTCTTTGCTTATTTCATGCTTTTTAGGTGATTCGTTGCTGATAAAGAAGAAAAGGGTAAGTTAGAGAGTAGCTCCTGTTTTCTGAGAAGTTTTATCAACGCATATTCACAGATATCCACGTGGAAGCAATTCGCGTCAGCTTCTTGTCTATTTTTTTGTCACTTCATGTCTCTTTCTTCTTCTTAGGTACTTCTTTGAACGCTAGTGGGTTTTTACGATTGACTTATTATCCTTATCACATGAAGTACTTGATTGAAATGCTATTTCCTATGGATGAAAGCCGAAGTTGCTGAAAGACAAGCCAACTAGCGTTCAAAGAAACGCCTCACAAGAAGGAGGAGGTTTGAAAGAAGAAGTGACAGAAGAAAAGGAAATGACAAAAAAGAAATAGACAAGAAGCTGACGCGAAATGCTTCCACGTGGATATCTGTGAATATGCGATGATAGAACTTCTCAGAAAACAGGAGCTACTCTCTAACTTACCCTTTTCTTCTTTATCAGCAACAAATCACTTAAAAAGCATGAAATAAGCAAAGAAAACACTGGAAAACACTAGCTCGGGAACTTGCAAGGCATTTATTGACGCCCCAGCGTTGTCGCGTCTGCAGGGACACTATATTAAGCAGGAAATCTACTCGACTGTACCTTCTCAACAAGAGACACAAGCACCGATCAGCCGCCGAATTTGCGTCTACCGACCCCTTTACATTCGAGGTGCGACCGATAATGGGCAGCATAGGAAAGCACACAGCTGAAATGGTGTGGTTTATCGATAGCATACTGACGCAGCTGCTCAACTTCATCCTTCGCACCTGGTAAATACTAAAAAAAATCTTCACACCGCCTGCGTACAACGCACATTGATCGCAACTGCCTTTTATACCAACGTGAGCATTGCATGCACGCGCGATACAAGCCCTCCCCGAGCTTTTCCCTCTAAGGGCTCTTTTTCTCAGAGAACATGGTTTTTCGAAAGCGTGCTTTTCTACTTTGCGGAGTCTGACCATGGGACAAAGGTTCCCTTGCACCGCAGCAGCCTAGTTGGCTCGTTGATACATATATTTCTTCTAGTTTTCCACTAGAAGGGTGCCGGGACCATCGCCTTCCGTCAAGTTTTTGGAAAAAGGATTTCACTATATAAAAGTGTTGTGACTCTGCAGAATTGTTTCGCAATCCATAGCAATTTTGAAACACATAATCGGTTCGCGTTCCTTCTCTTTTTCAATGCGCCTTGAAATCACCAACTACAACGCCGTAAATTGCTTTTGAGATTGAAACAATGCACCAAACGGTCGGTTTAGAATTTCAGCCGGTGTAGTGCATCTGCAGTCTTTTATCGATTAGTATCCCAAAGCGTGAGTGATGTCTTCAACGCTTGTCGCTGTTATGATAATGCAAATTAAAGTTGCGCTTTGGTAGAAGGCGCGCCACTACGACAAGAAAGCCTCTATAAAACTTTAACAGTCTTAACTCCTCCTCCAGTGCTATTAGTCTTCACTTTGAAGACAAAGGTTGACTGTCGCAGACAATCATGAATTTATTTCTTTCCGTTTTTAATTACGGCGCTCCTCGACTTTACGTGACGACGTGGACCACCACGGTTTCTTCCAACGGATTCTTCTTTTCTATCCTTTTGTGGTGAGATATAACAGACCCAGTCGACCTTATTGAAAGATGGGAAGTAATTGTGTGTGCATCAACTAGGTTTGAGACGTTACATTTGCCCCGGTATAAACAGTGCTGGAACTAGAATTCGAAAATGTAAATTGAATCTCATTGATATCAGACGTTTCGCGAAAACAGTAAAGGCTAGCTTGAGACCTAGGTGACGCCGTGTTGTAAGCAACACGGCTCTTAAGCGGTTATTGACCTCTACTGTCTACATCATAAGAGCTTCGGAGACGATTCTACTTGACTACCGCATCTGCTTTAGCCTTGCCACAATAAATCGTCTACTTTTGTCAGAGACTAGCTTTGGCTTGCGAGATTAACTCCGATCAAGGCGCTTTTTTTCAATATCCCAGATTCGATCAGCAACTTATGGCAGATAGAGTGAGCTTTAGCAGGTTGCCAGCAAATAAGTCTTTGCCATAATTGCATCACATGTCTCATGTTTATCACATGTCTTGATAATTGCCACAATTATCAGGACATGTGATAAAAAATTGAATTAAATCATTGCTATATAAAGTAACCCAATTTTATTTGTGCTCAACATGAAGTCTGCATAATTTTCTAGCTGAACTTACGTCTGAATTGATGTTGACTTTGCGTGAAGAAGAATAATGCTTGGAAGTTGGTGTTGCAATGTAAGAAACAAGTTTTCTGGGTTGCATTTGCATTGGATGAGATATAGAACAGATTGCAAGTGGGGAGTGGGGTAATTTGTAACATACAACTGATTCAGAGCATGAATGTTTAGAGTACAATTCCCTTTATGCGCCTAAAAAGTAGTAACAAAACAAAAACACAGTTATAATCCTAACGATCAATACCCTTCATGCAAATTTGAGAGGATTTTCTTTTCAAAAGAAGTTGCTACAGGTTAGCCTAAAAGCATCTTCGTGAATTGCGAAATGAATTGGATAATTATATGTCACATGTGAATCATTTTTAAATTTTTTGTAATCATGCGTAGAACCACAAAAACTTCATTAGAGAGCTGCGCCAAGACTATTCCAACTAAAGACATCTAATCATCGTATTCGCTGCCACAATTCGGTTCGTTGATGGTGAACAAAGAATTGGTTATGATTTGAGTCAAATCCATACAACATAGTTTTTAGAGTTTATCGAGCGAAAACCAAACGGTTGGTATCAGAAAAGTCAAATTTTGTGGCTTAGTCGTAAAAGCTGAATGATTTGTAGACCTACCATTCCTATTCTAAAGTCCTTGATTACGGCACACGTCAAAGCAGCTCCAAGTGCTGCCAGGAGGCATCCACCATGTATCAAAACAACTGTTTCATTGCGGCTGCTAGAATAAGTTCCAAAGCCTCAAATTAGTTTGAAAGAAAAGCATAAAACGTACGCTTTCTTCTTAATTGTGCAAAACATTGAGATGTAGCCAAAAAAAGATAAGACAAGCGAAGTGACCCGATAAAGTAGAGCAATGAAAAAAATAACCTAAAGTGGTTCACTTATGTTAAAGTTTTTAAACGTTGGCTAACTTTGTCATAGGATCCATCAACGGCGTTCAAAAAGAGTGGTATGGAATCTTCATACACGTAGTGCTGATCATATGAACAGTATAATGGAATAACTGTTATAGTAGGAAGAGACAACTGCATTATCAATATTCCCCAATGCTTTATTCTCTCGACAATCTAAAAATATCTTTTCGGCTTCTTATATTTTTGCTACAACCCACTTTCTCAGATTTATTTGTAGAAAAACGTTCACTAAGGCTTTGTACTCACAGTATCGCTCCAAAACCCTATAAGCATATTTGTTTCAAAGGCACTTTTGTCTTTTTAGCCATTCACTGCAAACGGAAAACCTTGATAGAATCTAAAATGTTGCATTGCTGTTTGATAATACCTTCATAGCAGCAGCTGTTGCCTTACGCTTTGTCATGCCGCACGGGACCGCAAGATATCGCTATCGTTGGCGGCTTGTAGATGTTATTAATATCTGCTCCAAGACGAAGGCGGTCGCCCAAATAGGTTGAAAACATGCAAAGCTGCGGCGCGCGCGCAATTGTCAACCACAGGGCGCACGCACGCTCGATCAGCGGTCATTCACGCGAGCGTGCGCGCGACCCGTGGTTGACAATTGCCCGCGCGCCGCGTGCGCGTCAGCCTTGCATGCTGTCAACCTATTTGGGCGACCGCCTTCGTCATGGAGGAGATATTAACAGGGTAAAGCGTGGAGTGTGGGACGCCGCATCTGGAGGTCGTATTGAGGAGTCGGAAGGGGAGGGGGTCTTCGAGTACCGATAATAGCGACAATAATAGCCACGTAATAACCACATAACATGGTTGATAGACAGTATTCCAAAAATCCCAGTATGTGAAACACAAGTACATGAGATATTGACTTGTCATTATACCTATCGTGGCATAATAAAAATCCCACCAAGCACCATGAGTGATATATGCATAATTAGTATGTCAATTAACCCTTGTGGACCAAGTCTAGTGAATTCTGAAGTCTGTAAATGCTAGGGGCCACCTAGTCAAATGGTCATTTTGAAACACAATCAACTTTGTTTTAGAAAACAACTAGCCATCTCTTTTTGCACTGAGTAAAAAGCACTAATCCTTTGCCCACCTCAGAAGTCCCGCTTCAAAAAATCGCCAAACTTAAATCAGAAGCAAGCCGAAATCTCGTTAAAACACTTTTTGGTTCAAATATCTCACACTAGAAAAAGCAATCAAGCTCAAATCACTTCTGTAAAAATTAAGAGGTTTAGACTACCGAACATATATACATCCTTGCCGCCTTCCCACGCGATTCACGTTAGAAGACACTCAGCATGTGACAATTGGTGGAAACACAGCCACTGAAATTAAAACTGGGACAAACAAGACGGTTTGCTTCTAATTCCACGATTTAGCAATTTTTTGAGGCAAGATTTCGTCGTGAGCAAGGAAGGAATAGTGCATTCTACTAGGATCGAAAAGAGGCAGCTAGTTTCCTTCTGGGACAAAGTTGAACGTGCTTGAAAATGACCATTTCTTTGAGTGGCCTAATTTGCAGACTTCGGAATTCGCTAAACTTGGTTCACAAAGGGTTATTTGACATGCTAATCATGCATACATCACTCATTATGCTTGGTGGAGTTTTTGTTATGCTTATCTTAGTTTTTCAGTAGTTCAAGGTGTCCTATTGAAATAGCAACTAAGAGAGATCGTATTTAGCGTTGGTCACTAATCCATTGACACAGATCTCGAATGCAGTGGTTGAGCCGTCCAGCGTGCGTACGCGACGCGCGGCGTAAGCGACATACGCAGTGTATGACGCGTAGTCTAGCCCAAACCACAGGCGGACTTTATAAGTTGATGCAAGCGCATAGAATTGTTCACCGAGAGTGCGTCAACGAAGAATCGACAGCCATCGTAACAATGCCAAATCCAAACGAAATTACGCGAGCTATGACCCATGCCCTACAGGAACTCGGCTGTTGCAGCGATACACCTATTTTTCCAGATGGGTGTCGCGTGATCACTCTAGCGCAGATAATTGAAAATGGAGCGTAGTGTAGCGTCTTTGTCGTGATTCTGCTGCTCGTGATATGCTTTCTTTAGGTGCGAAGGTCTTGAAATCGCCATATACATGGTGTCTAAAAAAATGAGAAACACTGTTTATTCGTTAATAACTCTCTTGTTTTAGTATGATGATGATCTTTAGGTATAATTCTCCAGAGGTAGCCTCAAATTGTACAACGCACTCTCTAGGTAAACGAAGGTCTTGAAATCGCCATTCACAGGGTGTCTTAGAAAATGAGAGCACTGTTTAATCGTTAATAACTCTCTTGTTTTAGTATAAAGATGATCTTTAGGTACCATTCTTCAGAGCTAGACTCACCTTGTACAGTTTAGAGTGAAAAGCCGGATTATTCTTTGGTACTAGTAGGGCGGCAGAAACCTTTAGTACACCGTCATAGAGAAATAAACCATTCGATATGAAAGTAGCAATAAAATCTCAGGAATTGTGCAGCAAGTTTTTCATGGAGCTAGTTTTGTTACAAAACTTTTACATGTTTTGTAAGCTTTTTCAACGGTGTAATCACATTTTTGAAAAAAAAAACATTGAAAGGCAATTTTTGTGGTTTACCTAAAATAACTTATGGAAGAAGCAGGATTGTAATGCGCAAATCTCATAATTGAAATAAAGAACTTTACTATGCCTAAAATAAAATCTTTTGGCTTGTTTGTTTTTTAGGCAAAATGCGGCTCTCGATAACTCAAAACCTTTTTCAATGTTACTACCGTATATTAATAAATAGTGATTAAGAAAGGTAGGAGATTTGCTTCTTACTGTAAAAGATGGCAACGCTATAGGATAGTAATTAAAGATTAATAAGATTACGATAGCAAGAGAGCTATCAACGAGCGAGCGGTGTGGGCATTTTGAGATAGGAGATTACACTAGATACACTATGCATCCTATACACTAGATAAGCAGCTTGCTGTGTTTTAGCTGGTGAACATAAGTTTGTGTAGATAGTACATGCACAGTGTTTCCGGCATATGATATGTCATTGGAATGGTGGTGTGTCAAAGGTCCGGATATAAGATCTAAAAAGGTGACCTTCCATCAAAGTGAGGCTTCCACACGTATTGCATATCATTCTGCTGTCCGTGTCCCTTCGCTGCTCAATGATTCTCCGGGAAAAGGAATGAGGATGGCTTAAGATGGCTCGCTACAAATTGGCGGTACTGAGCAATGCGATGCGTGGACTGATGCCTGAGTGGATAACTGCGAAAACTATGAAGCAACTACTTTTCACTTCGGATCCCCTACATTGCCAACATTTTTGCATTTTTGCAAATTGTTTGATATGTACCCTAGAGGATCCCTAAGGCAAGAAAACGCTTATAACCTGTTTGTTAGCTGAAACGATATCAGACTGTAGACTATCTCAGCTTTTTCAAATTTTAGTACTGAACCATCTACGAGCATGTTTGACAGATTGTTATAAAATATTCAAAACGCATTGACTTTTCACACAGACGAAGAACGTTCTCAAAACGAACTGGTCCCGACCCCGCTGAAGATAGGACCTCATCTCCTTCTCTTGCTCAAAGTGTGCGTGCTTCGCGGTTTTCCAGAGCTTCGTCCTCTTCACAGTTAACTTTAACACAGTTATACATGGCTTCTTGTAAAATCAAAGAAAAGCTTTGTATGAGGATTGCTTCTTTCGAGTCGGTATGCGCGAAACTTTGCATGGACTGAACTCTCCCGCCAAGTAACTGACTACCAGCTGTGGCGAAGACATGATTGCAAATGACGAATAAGTTTCTCATCAGGTGTCAGTGGCGTACCAAGATCCCCTCCCTCGCCCCCTTCGAGAATGGGTCACAAAATGAAAGTTACATAAATTTGTTGTAAAAATGAGCAAGCGACTTAATTTAATTCGTAAATAATTAAAATATCATCTAAAAAATTTTGTAAATTCAAATAAGCCCTGTAAAACAATTTGTGTCGGGGGCATGGCTGCCGTCACGCCCTCTTTCTCTGAAATTTCTGGGCCAGGGCCCCCAAAAATTTTTTGAAGCATCCGAAAAAAATTTTCGCAGTGCGTGGCCCCAAGCTTTTTTCTTGGGTGCACCGCCACCTTTATCAATTTCACTTCTCCCAAATATTTGATCCTCCTGATTTACCAACGTCGCAAAAATTAGGTTTCTGCTCGATTTTCCCATTATTTTCAAAATTTCCCCTTTAACATTCTAAAAGGTCTCCTCGCTTTAAAGGTTCTCTAATACGTCGAAAAAAGTGCAAAAATGTAAAACGTTGAAAACATAGGTCCGTAGTAAACCCCCCATCAGGGCGTCTTTCTCGACGCGGACCGGAGTTGATCTCGTCACGCCTCAGTCTAGCATCCGGCGAGCTATTGATCTGGATGCGGATCGCTTCCGAGGCATTACAATCGAGTGCGTTCTTGAAAAAGAAACCACTTGAGCTGGTTTGGTCAAACGGGTAAGCAATTGGAATTACACGCGCGCGGCCGTGGTTCGAATCCGTCTGGCGACGCACCTTTTGATGCATCGCCGGGCAATCTATGATAGGCCACTATAGCAATCGATGATGACCGCTATCAAGGATTTCGCCTAGCAAATGCACGGATAAAACAAAAACAAAACTTGTGACGAAATTTTTATGAAAAAACGAAATGGTTGCAACGTGATTTTATTGAAATGAATAAATGAGTTCTTATTTTGGACAGCTAGCAAAAAAAACAGTAAGGCTTACAAAGAAAAGAATTTGTTTTTTGTTTTCCTCGCCAAAATCAGCTGTTCATCGATCCTCTCCTTTTCGGGCGCGGTCGTGCAGTTTTGCGCCCATTTTGTCTGCATTTTTTGGCAGACTGATGTGTATCGTAAGTTACTCAGGAGCAACTTACGGGAGTCTTGTCTGCGTCTCCTCCTTTGCACACTATTTGCATTCCTCTAAATCCGTTCACGTTCAGTTCAACTCAACGCGAACGGATGTGGAACAGTTGACTGCAGCACGTGGACGGATGGCCAACTATCAGTTCACTTGCCATGCTTATAGCATGGGAAGGTGGGCAGTCATCAGTTAACCTGACCTAAGCTCAACTGATGGGTTAAGTTGAGTTCACCTCAACTGATCAAGCTTTACTAAGGGCCATAGTTTGAACTCTTGACCATCGCTCCATGATCTCCGCAGCTATACAGGGTGCGTCAAAAGTCTGGGTGCCTAACTTTGCAGTACTGCAATTACAAAGATGCTAATTCTTTTGATTTTAATTTCATGCCACATGATGCTTCGGTCATCCTCTACAAAATACACTTCACATAATTGGAAATGGTTGCCATATGTTTTTGTAAGAATTGAAATTATCAAATTAGTACTTTTGCAAAGCGAAAAAACCAGAATTTTTAGTATTTACAATTTTTGCTATAGATAGAGATGCTGTTAATTTTTTACAACACTTCGATGCAATAATACAATAGAGAAGAGGGTTCGCGCTATTGAATAGTAGTTTTGCTTTTGCCAGGAGCTGTTCTTGCATAAACGGAAAATAAAATTTTGCGAATGTTACTTTGTGCCAGTGGCCATCCCTCTTCGGAACAAATTTAAAAGGTGTAGAAGCGCAACAGGCACTGAAACCAAGGCTATATTCTTAGCTTGCGTCTTTTGAATAAGTAGCTATTGAAATTCGGTCAAGGAAACACTTTTTATATTTTTAAGTAATAATTGTCCGCTTTCTTTCGCGTAATTGTGGCTAAAGTTCCGATGTGCGACGTACACATGCTTCTAATTGAAAATCCAATCTTCCTAATCCTAAGTAATGCAAAAATTCGTTTGAAAGTATGTTGTAGACAAAAGTTTGCTCTATCATTTTGCGCTTTGCCAAGGTAAAAGAAGCAGTTATTGTGAAGGCGTGGGGCGAATTGCATTACGACTACCTGCGTGATGACAGGTGAACTTGCCAAATTTTGTAGGGCCGCATGGAAGCCAAAAGGGGCAATTTTGAAATTCACGACCTGAGCTGTATCTGCAATGGTTCGAATTATGTGTGCGCTAAATTTTTCGTTTCTAGGTACTTCTCTTCCCATTTTGAATGAAAAAGTACTAGGCTCCCAGACTTTTGACGCACCCTGTACATTTGGCCATCCGTCCACACTTATACGTGAAGAGTGTCGCTAACTTATAATAAGCCGTTGTCCTGGGAAGGTCATTGTTCATAACCTTCACCAAAAGATCACTGAGCAGCTAAGGAACACGGATTTAGCACCAGCGCCCCAAGACTAGCAGAATGGTATCCATCATGTATGGAAACTCCACTTCGATGGAAAGTATGTAAGTAAAGATCTGGTATGCAGTTCGGTCGCTAGTCAATCTTTCGTGTAGATGAACTAGAAGTACGTAATAGTTCTTAAGGTGACAGAAAAATGGCATGTACAACCCACCTTATAGAAAATTTCAATTTGAACCGAAAGCTGTGCACGCCTCTGAGAATTTTTTCACTATTATATATCACGTTTTACCTGAGGTGAACTTTGTACGGTTAATTATTCCAATAGCAGTTGTGATTTTCTTTCACAAAGCAACATTTTTGTTTCAAGTAGAACTTCCAACAGATGCACTTCATCTAAAACTTATAATCCGCTCGTTACAAAAGTTCTTTCCGTTTTCTCAATTTCTCATGAATGCGCTTGTAATAACGGCCAAATATTTCAACAATTATCCATTGCAGCTTTTCTTCCCCTTTCAGTGTTCATGTTTCTGTACTGTCCCCCTTCATGCTCACTGAAATACCCGCCAGGTGGACCCATTGTTTTTCAGATTTTTCTTCTTGGACTTTTGGAGAGCATTGATATTGGTAATTACGCTAACAATGTGCAATACAATACATTATCTCCAGCTGACGCTTATAATTGTAAGATAAGACTTACCATTGATAGCAATAGTACTTGAAAGAAGTGTGATTTTCTTTGAAAAATTCTAGAAAAATTTTTTGTTTCCAATCAAAAGCCTCATGCCCGTTTGTGATATTAGTACATGTGAATGTGCGCTGAATTGCGAAAGGTTTGCTGCTTATGATGGTCTTACTGCATTAGCTTGATGAGAAACCAATATATGTTCTTTAACTCAGACAATTCACTGGAACTTCGGCAGCACAAGCAGAATTTGCAGCGGCTCTGCAGCACTTTCTTATCGCTGAGAAAGTGCACGCTCCAGAATGCAGGGATTTCCGCAGGAAATTGACGTCAGAGCGATGACTGGAATTTTCGCAGCACTTTCCAAAACATGAAGCCCTGCGGAAATGGTGTAAAATAGTAGCGTTTTTGCCGCATTTCGACCTGCCATTATTTTCACAGAACTTTGAGAGCGCATGCAGTGACTGCGAGATAGCAAGCATTTTTGCGGCAATCCATACTCTAATCAATACTCTTGCAGGTATCGGTGCACTTGTGCGAGAAATCATCATCAAGGTGCTGAAATGGTGGAAAAGAACTCAAAGGAGAGACTTCAAGCGCAGCGCTCTCATTCAGGTATGTTCAACCTTTGCTTTTTTAGCTTAAACTAGTAACATAAAGAAACTATTATTTTGTATGCAGGGTGGGGCAAAAGTCGTTAGCCGATTATGCAGTGTAGTAGACCACGAAACTACTAATAATTTTGATTTCAAATTTGTAACACATAATGCTGCGATCATCCTCTACAAATCACACTTTATCTAGCTGAAAAATACTTGCTGTGTGTTTTTGTAAGAACTGAATTTATCGAACAAATGCTTCTGCATAGCGTGAAAATTTTTTTCTGGTATTCGCACTTTGTTATTTCATTATTATTTTATTAGGTTGTTAACTAAGTTTTGCCAGCCACGAGCTACGTCCAGACAGCAGCAGGACCATCAAAAGACTTCAAGATACAAGCCGGGGTACACGGGATCCTTACTCTCGCAGCTCCTGTTCATCACCGTCATGGATGCGATAGTCAACGACTTCATACGGCAACCACCGTGTGCTCTTGTGCGCAGATGGTGTGTTCCTAATGGCAAGAAGCAGAGATGAACTCCAGAAAGATGTGCAGACATAGAAGGATCAACTGGAGGTTCATGGACTGAAGTTGAACATGAAAAAACAGAATAGATGGAGTTAGGAACGCAGATACCTGGAACAATCCAGATTGGAGGTACGCTAATCAAGAAGACCACTTCCTTCAAGTACCTTGGAAGCGGTATCACCGCAGATGTAGTCTCCAAGACGAAGTAGAGGCTAGAGTGAATGCAGCTTGGATGAAGTGTGCAGTGTCACAGGAGTCCTGTGCGATAGACGAATGCCGCTGAAACTGAAGTCCCTGATATACTGTATAGTGGTACGACCCACAGAGCTGTATTGAAGCGAATGACCCTGCACACGTTACGAAGAAAGAAAGATCAGCGTGATGGAGACACGAATGTCAAGGTGGACTGTAGGAGTCACGACTTGACCACATCTCGAACGACACTATGCGAAGCATGATGAACGTCGCAGTTGTCAAGAAGATGCAAGAAAAACGCCTTCGATGGTATGCTCACGTCAGGCAAAGAAAAGAAAGCCACATAACCAGAGTTGCCATGTCGATAGAGGTCCCAGGAAAGCGGTCAAGAGAAAGACCTAAGTTGCGATGGCTGGACAGAATCAGAGCGGATAGAAAGAACTTGAACTGAGCGAAGAGCAGGCCTTAGACCGAGAAGAGTGGAGAAAACGTACAAGAGCGGCAGACCCAAGATGATGGGAAAAGTGCAAGGATAAAAAAAGGTTAACCAAGTTTTGCAACTGAGTCCGCAGTTTCGTTTTTTGATACCGGCGCGCTCAAATTTTGATATTGTAAGCTGCCGTGTGAGCTATAAACTGCCACGGACTGCTTGCTTTCTGATAACAAAATAGAAAAAATTCGAGAGCTTTTCGAAAACTATTGAAATTTAAGTATTCATGGAATTTTAGATGAAAATGAAGCGGCCCTTAAACTAGATCATGAACAATAATCCACAGTTGTTACTAGTGCCTAGTATATTTTTTGATTTTGAATTTTGGATAAGTTGCTCTTCACGAGAAGGAAGGTTGGTCGAAGTGGCCTCTCGAAATGAGTTGTACACGGCATTGTAGACCTTGAAACGCTGATTCCAAATCTATCTTCGCGACCTGCTGCGGGTTCTGGGAGAGAAGTTATGAACGTTTTTCTGAGTAAAAGTTGAATGCAAAGCAAGTGTGAAATCAGTCGTAACATTCTAGGGCTTAACTGGTAGTCGAGTCAATCGATGCAACGGATATTCTTGATTCAAATATACCACTTGCTGTTGCCTCTTTTGAACGTTGGGGAAAGCTAACAACTGATTTTATCCTATTCTTGTATTCAGATTTCTACTCAAAAAAATCTTCATAGCTCCTGGCCCAGAAGCCCGCAGCAGATAACAAAGGTGAATTTGGAATTAGCGTTCCAAGCTTTACAAGATAGTGTACATCTTATCTTAAAAAGCCACATCGACCAACCTTCCTTCCCTTGTTAGTGCGTGTATTAGTTGTGCATCAAACTGATAATTTCAAGATACGAAAGTTTGATATCTTGCTCAACAACTTCCTTGAACGATGGTGTTTTAGCAACTTACGTGAGTGAGTCCCGAGTGTGGTAAACATACGGCACAATAACGCCCTCCCACTGTCAAAAATACACCCATAGTTTGAATATAAACAAGATGCTCTTGAGTAATCTGAGCAAACTTTGTCCACCATGGGAAACGATTCATATAGAGATAAGTGTTGAAAGTGACGGGTAAAAATCTTGGATACATAGTTGTTACGAAAAATACAAGGGTAAACAAATTTATGAACTCCTGAAAAACCTGGGGCTTGTAACACCAAGACTAATATTATATAATGAGGGCATTTCCGGGTCAAGATGTACCTCATTCCAGCAACATCTGTAGAAAAAGGCCTTGAAACGACTTGACTCTCTATTTCGCCACATAAATATGAGCACACAGCAACATAATATGAGAGAAAGTGTCACGATAATGCCGACTAGCGTAATGGCAATACTATTGAACATCTGAAAATGTAACGATAGGAACGATTCTATTATCCAAAACAAACCGACGTTGAAAACAAGCGGGGTGAAATACGCCATTCGTTTACTGGTACTTATCTTGCTGTCATTATTCTATCGCAATAAGCATTAATCTTGCCATCGCAATTTTTGTGTGAAAAAATACATGATCCTCGAGATCACATTTCATTTTGCAGTGACATTTAGAGAAAAGCTATGTGCTTCCCGATAGCATTATCCATATCTGCTGAGGCCTTTCTATTAGGTTTGTTGAATAAATTCGGTCGCTTTTTCGGCTCCTACAAATGCTGCAGATAACCTTCTGTTTAATACTCGGTATCTCTAGAAAGGGCACTGCAACGATAATTGGAACTCAATATCTTTTCGAAAAGAATTTGTTTTTCAATGAAGGAAATCGTGACTGTCCCTTACGGATAACTGAAAATTGTGAATAGTTGTTATGCGATAGAAGAAGCTCTGCGCAACAAACTTGCAAAGAATCGTGGATAAAGAATCTAGGAGAGTTATGGAGATTTTTATGTCAGATCAAAATCATTTTTTAGCCAACGTAACAAAAGAGCAATGGACTTCTCTGTCTAGTTTTTGCACAGCTTTGCATTGTGTAAAAACATCCCATGGAAAACTTGCATTCATGGGCAGCAAAGATGTCGAAGCGTCTTTGATTGTATGTTGGATGCACGTTTGCAGCAGCGCAAGAAACAAGTTGTCGTAGGCTTCAATCTGGTTCTGTGCTTTAACGTACTTTGTCGCAGCTTAAAACCCTTACATAGTTCGTTCTTCTATTGTCAAAGTGGCCCAAATGAGTCAAATAAAAAGTAAGGCTCGCTTCTTGCCTCCAACAATGATTAACTCTACCCCTCCCCCTCTTCTCTGCGTTTCTTCGCGCTGTCAGGTATACTAATGTAACCCCCGTAGACTTCTTGGAAATTGCGCGTACATTATTGCTTTGAAAAACCTTGTATAACTCTTTCAACAGGTGTTACCGGATAGGCAGTTGGAATTAGCGTAAAAACAGCGTGCTGCATACATCACTTCTTTAAAGATCACTGCAAGTTTTACGCTGATGTTGTATGCAAAATCAGTAATCATTTTATTGGCCTGGGTTTACTCCACTACAGTTTTTTGCTCCTGGTAATTTGCTAATACTGAAGCAGTGTACGCATGCAGTTCAATCTTAGGTTGGCACATATGTTCTGCAACTTCTCTCATAACTTCTTTCATTCTGTAGCATTTTTTTTTCTAAGCAAAAACAAAGCCGTGCACAGCCTAAATAATAGTTAAATGCAAAAATAATGTCCGATTTTCCAAGCCTTTTTACAAGCCTTTTTTTTCTATCAAAATACCTTCTCCGAAAAATTTGTAGCATACCGTTGAAAAGCTGCTTTTATGCTCTATTTAACACTCTTTAAGCGTGCTTCTAAAAGTTAAAGTGTAACAAAACTTACGTTACAACCTAATAATTGCTTATTAAGATAGCAGAACCTTTTCAAAATGATAATTGCCAAAGATTAGAGATTAATAAGGCACCAAAAAGTGTAGCTCTCTTCCTCTTTCCTCCCCAGCAAATTTTAGTACGTGCAGAGCCATAGCCGTCAACAATTTTTCACAAGAAAAAGTCAACTGTCTGTTACATGAAGAATTGTGCATTACTTGCGCTAAGCCTGAAACTGGCCTGAAAATGCTGTCAATTTTAAATTTTGTGCATGTTTTCTTCGTCAAAAGCAGAACTGCGGCAAATTTTCGACTTACAAATTTTTCGCTTACCTGAAATTCTCGAATGGATAAAAAATCAGTTCTTAAAGTCCTTTATTTTAAAAGTGAACAAGTAGAACAGTTCGTGCTTTAAATGTAGACGAACGCGGAGACATTCCGGAACTCTTACAATCAGTCATATCATCACGGGATGCCCCCTCAGTTGGGAGGGAAATAGCTAGCGAATTTGGCAGAGCGGAAGCGAAACTACTCTTTGCAACTTGGTTGCTATCGGTCAAGCCAGTTAGGCTGATTACCAACCATAACCCCCTTAACCATACCAAAGCTCAAAGAAAACACGTCAAGAAATTGAATTTGAAAAAAAAAAACTCCATTTTATAATCCATGGTTTTTTGCCGTTTGTGACTACACTAAATGTGCGCTGGACTGGGAAAGGTTTGCTGACTCGGTGCTTACACACAGTATTTTGACAAAGTATCCTATCAGGTTCAAATGCAAAACATGCATCTTTTTTGCGGCATCCTAAACTTTAGGACTCCCCAGAATTTTTTTACAGTTTTACACTCTCCTGCTACAACCCGTATTCTTCTTGCTTGTTAAATAGTTTTTGCGACACAGCTCGACGGATCAAAGCAAGTTTTACGAGATAGCAGACGAACATACGCTAAAAATTCGGTTCTACATGAAATTTGAAGCCGAAACCTAAGCTCCTTGTGCCCTAAAAATTGAGAACAAATTGTATTTTCATTAACATTCAAAAGATTCCTACAATACCTCCTACTTGCTCACGCATACACTGTCCACATCCGGTATTTATATACAGGGTGTCCCAAAAAATGTATCGAACGTTTGATCGTTAATATCTCTCTTTCAAAGAAGTCTTTTTCCCTTGCTTCAGGTACCAATCTGTAGAGCTGGCTTCAACTTAGATTTGCATTATAGAACGAACCACTCATTTATCTTCATTACTGTAGGATTACGGTGGAAACTTCAAAGAGGGTTTTAAGCAATGAAAGGCCATATTTTGCCTCAGAAAGGAAACAAAACAGCCTGAAAGCTTTTACACTAGGCTAATTAGAGTTGCTGATTATAACTGTAAAGTTCCCAATTTATTATGATGCTTCATTGAAGAGTTATGCCAGGTAAGAGGTAGCGGCCATTTTTTCAATGTTCCTAAAAGTGAGGTTAAACCCTTTAGAAAGCTTCGTAATTTTGTGAATAGTTGAGTATTGAACTCAGCGTCCATAAAAACCCCAATACACAAGTTTTCACATTTTTTGAAAAATTTTGAAACGGCAGTTTTTTCCACATTGACACCATATGTTTCAAGTTTCTACCGTAATCCTACAATAATGAAGAGAGAGGGGTGATTCGTTCTATAATGCAAATCTAAGGAAGCCAGCTCTACAAAAAGGTACCTGAAGCAAGGCAAAAGACTTCTTGGGAAGAAAGATATTAACGATCAAACGTTCGATACATTTTTTTGGGACACCCTGTATACTTTTTTCAATTTTTTATGGGCCTCCAAGATGTCATAGAGGACTTGGCGTAAGATGAACAAAAAACCTATCTATCAGGCGTCCCTCCTTCCTAGGCGATGGGGTATGTTTGCACGAGCAGAGCTCCTCAAAATGCGAGATCACCACTTGTGGATAAAACATAGTATCAATTGATTGACATATTGTGCACGTCAAAAAATCGCCAAAAACGCCACGATTAACTGCTTCTTTCTTGTTAAGCATGTTTGTCAGTGTATACTTGAATAGAGTATATTGTGGAATAATCTGAAAGCAAGTTTTTTTGGTGAATAGGTGATTCATTGTCCGATAGATGTGATTTTGTTGCTTCACATTGTGAGATTCAGCATTCTTTAATGTCGACACTTTGCATCTTGTCTGCTGAATCCACAAAAATACACGGATCGCACCCTAACGGAATCGAGCCCACGACATCCAGCTCCGCGGTCCAATTCACTATACATTGCCTCCTTTATAACCCTTCAGAATAAGGCTCAGCCGATTGCGGATTAGAGATCACCGTCTAAGGATATTATGAGCGATATACGTTGCTCACCCAATCACCACTGCGATCTAGTATCCTATCGTGCCCTTGTAAGACCGACCACTCTAACATCAGAGGATTTTGCGCAAAGGACCCTATTCGTTAGTTACGCATAATGCTTTAGAGTCGTGGCTTAAGGATCGCTTTCCCGAATTCAGCGAAGCGGCTGAACTGCTCACCGAAGAAAAATGAAAAGACGTGCACGCACATTGAAATCAGGGTAGTGTAATCCTGACCTGAGACCGTTTTAATGTGAAAGGACAGAGAGCGAAATGCATGTCACCAGGGCTGGTAGTAATCTACCCTACCTGGTGGCATCAAAGATGCCGGCAAGTTGGCACACATCGCGGAAAGATGCCAACTCCGCCGGCAGCTCGCGGAGTGATTGTAGGTTCTAATAATCTTATGTAACCTTAGCACGCAGTCATTTCGCACATTAAATTTTGATGACGCAGACAGCCGCAAAATTGCTACCTCGCGCGCGGTCGAACCTATGTGCGTTAATTTGAGGTGCCACCACGTTAACTATTCGACCATTCGGTCAGCCATTGCCGTTTGGCACCAGCAATAGGAGGAACGCGCTGGTAAGGCTGCCTGTAAGAGGGATCGATACATTGCGTGAGAGCCATGACCTGAAAGAACAGCTGATTGATATGAGCGAGAGAAGGGGCGAAATCGGTGCAAACGAAATTTATAAGGGATTGCCAAAAAAAGATGGTGTTCTTTATGATTCTAAGGCATTGCTGAATTTTTTCTCTGTAAGGAAATCGTCGTTTTAAAGAAGATCGCATAATGAGAAAAATGATAGTTTTTTGATAAAAAGTAGAATTTTTGATTTTTTCGCCTGACGTAAATTGTGTGATAACGCCGAAATTCGCAAACTCGCAGACGCCGTCGGCAAAGGTGCCACCACCTCGACGTGGCAGGGGCACGTCGAGATGCCGGCAGCTCCCTCTCTCGAAAGAGCATGTTATTTCTTGTGCTCTCTGACCTGCCGGCAGCTGCCATCTCACGGATTTCGACGAGCTGCCGGCAGGTTGCCGGCAACATACATCGCGAAGTTGCCGGCAGCTCCTTCTGCGCTTCCAGATATTTTCCTACAGGAGGATTTTTAGAACCGCAGATTTCTATGGAGTTTTCTACAGAGTCTAAGCGGCATCTTTATCGAGAAAATTTTCTGGAAATAGACCTGGGACCGGCTAAATTTG